CACACACACACACACACACATATATATATATATATATATATATAAATATAAACATGTATATATACACACACATAAACACTCACACACACACACACACACACATATATATATAAATATATATATATTCTTACGTATAGCCTATAAATGCACACGTCCCGGCTGATTATTTAATCACATAGTGATGTATGTGCGCTTCTCAACCATATCTCACTCAGGCATCTTCATGGTAGGCCTCAATTAAAAACCACGTTTCTGGCAATTTGCGTACTATTCAAGCGCGTTTTTGTCAAACTAGCAGGTCTTATTGTATGGTAATGTTTGAAGATCCAGCTCCGGGTAATTCACTCACTCACACGGATGATCTGACCCTCCAATGCATTACAGGAGTCAATCCCGATCCCACTACCGGTGCCATTCTTACGCCCATTGTGCAGGTGAGTTGGTGGGTTTTTGTATGGTGAGAGTTCGGTACATAACAATACACTGTGTTTTCTAGGATCACGAATCAAATAGCCCCACTAAACATTGCACGCCGTGTACACGATATCAATACAAATATGCATCGTTTCAATGCAGCATACACACAGGCTTACACAGTAAATACGAACATATTGATTTAATAAATTGATTCAGTGAATAGGTTTTTATCATTATTACTAGTTCCAAAGTATTCAGTCCTCCACACCTATTCAAGTTCTCGTTATTCTGTACATGAGCATGAACTACTTGTACAGCCGCACCGCCAACCTCATTGTGCGTATATCTGTATTAAGATGACTTGCACACGAACCTATCTGAACCCAACAATGGCTATGTAACGGTTATTAGATGATTACGCACGTGTTGATGTGTTTTCGCCACATACATCTCAAGGTCACGACATCATTATAAGAACCGTTGATCTGTGCTTGGGCGTGTGATAATCATACAACCGCACTACCCATCTCACGATGTGTACTTCACAGAACAGTGTTCCACACTATTGTGGATTTAAACCCAGCAATGTCAGTATACGGGCTACTTAATCATCTCACACGTAATGACTCGCTTTCAGCGTAAGCGATTCTAGGTCACTACATCCATACTACCCAATCATCCCACACGCATTGACATGCTTTCAGCGTATACGTTTCTAGACCCGCTCATATGCACATAAGTTTCTGCTGTTGTACGCTCTCAAAGAGATGTCTGCTCAGTCGCACGGCGAGTCCAGTCCGACGCTACATGCGTTGGAAGACAGAGGGCAAGACCGCCGAGATCGAATACTCATGGGAGTAACATTCACATTGGTTGGTATTTTTCTACCTACTCAGGCCACCACGTTCGTACAAGAATCCATTGACCTGTACTTGAGTAAGGGTTACTCATATAGTCGCACCGCCAACCCCACTGTGCGTGCGCTGGAGAACAAGATCGCGGAGATCGAACACGCTGCCGGTGCCACTTGTTTTTCCACTGGCATGGCTGCAACCGTTACTGTATGTTCCCAAACTTCACTTACTGTTTTAGTCATGTATGTGGTTTGTGTGGTCCGGGTTTCCATCTATGTATGTCTACAACCTAAAAGTATGTTCGTTGGGAACGTGTAGGACTGGGACAATAAGGAACGTTGGACTGCGCAATTAGTCCATTTGCTAATTTACCGTCCCTTTTAAAGGCGATATTCGCCTCCGCGCAACGGTTCTACAGAGCGAAAGTATCCTGGATGGCATGCAATCGACTCAAATAGTATTGTTGTCTACTATTTGTCATCACGTCTTTCTCCGTACTAGCTTTTATTGGGTTTATGGTGTGGGTTTCTAGGGTTTAGAAAATAGTGGTATTACTCTGTGTGTTCTATAGGGCAATGTCTGCACTCACTCGTAGTCAGGTGTGTGTGGATTACCGTACCAACCGTTCTTGCAGGCAGAGGGCGCGGCAGTGATTCGATGTATATGATGCGCGAGGTGAGGTTTATGGTTCTTAAATAAATATACATTCGATATATAGAGATTAAGATCGCATTTATGCGTAAGATTACATGAATACAAGTATACCTTTCATATATACAGATTATGACCATTCATACGCACGATTGTTTAAAAATGAAAATATTATGTTATCATTGTACAGGTTCTGAACTCATTTATGTGTACGATCTCTTATATTGATATATATATTATATATATATATATATATATATAAATGTGTGTGTATATATATATATGTATATGTATTTTTATTACAGACAGGTTATGACCTCATTCGTGCATACGATTTACTTGAATATGTATTAAAAAAATTATGACACATTTTGGCCGCAATCATGCATACGATTACTCAAATATATTTATAATATTATATACAGATGACGAGCGCATCTGTGCGCAAAATTGCTCAAGTATATGTATATTTGTTATGTACATGCTTCGTCCGCTTCCATGAGCACAATCACTTAAATATATGTACCTATTTTATTACATACAGGTTATGACCGCATTCATGCGCGCTGGAGATCACTGCGTCATCACCAACTGCTCGTACGGTGGCACTAACCGGGTGGCGCGCAAGATGTTCATGGGCCTTGGAATGGAGTTCTCGTTTGTTGACTTTACCGATCTTGCTGAGATTGAAGGGTGTGTTATATTGAATAGCTTTTTGTGCTGGAGTATATTTTTATTGTGTGGCTTGTAGTATTTATGTCACTGGGACTGGTTATATAATCTATGTGCTTCTGTTTTAGGATATGTGTTGGTGGATGGGCAAATATGCTGTACTACGCATATACAGATGTTTACACTTATACGCTGTGACCTACGTACGGAATGTACTGACATATGAGCTTATCAGCAAGTCGTTTAATAGGCGAACATCTGTATTTCCACTCGTAGTTTGTCATTAGTTCCAAATGCGCGCCATACACCTGTGCATGTATATGTAAATGGATATAGTGCATGTGTTTATGTACGTATTTTGTTTCTGGCTATGATACAGTTCTTGCCCGTAAAATCTGCTTTGTTAACGCGTTTGGATACAACGCTCACATATTAGTACATGTAAGATGTCGGTTACTTCTGCACAAACATTCAAATTCATAACAGCCATTTGACATGAACATCGACATACATATAGAAGCCGTAAATCTCATCATATGCCCACTCTCATTGATCGTCGTCGCCTTTCTATTCCATCTGCAGAGCCATTAAACCCAACACAAAGCTGATATTCTCGGAAACACCCGCCAATCCCACGCTCACACTCACGGACCTCCAGGGAGTCAGTGCAATTGCCAAGAAACACAACATTGTGCACTGCTGCGACACCACGTTTGCCACACCCATCATCACACTAGCGCTGGACCATGGCGTGGACATTGCCATGCACTCCACTACCAAATACTACGACGGCCACAACATGACTGTGGGGGTGAGTTCGGCATTGATTCGTGTTGAGAAACACACACACATATATATATATGTATATGTATATAAATGTATATATATATATATATACATATACACACATGTGTGTGTGTGTGTTTGTGTGTATGTATGTCGTATTAGTATTGTGCACTACTGCGGTGACATAATTGCTTCTTGTATATTACACTAGCGCTCGACCATATGGCTATATGCGCTTACGCCAAGGTTTCTACGAAGAGTGGTAACATCGCGGCATGGACTGTTATGTTCAACTCCCAAAAACATTTCAATTTGCCACCTAGAATAAGATACACCCCGCGCAATCTGCTTTCACTTATCTGATGCCGATACCCCTTGTTTCTTTGCTCACAGGGTGTGATAGCGTGCAAGACAGCCGAGCATGACGCAGAGATCAAGTTCTTCCAGAACATGCACGGAAACGTCATGTCACCCATGGTGGCCTTTCTCACCCTGCAAGCCACAAAGACCATGAAGTTGCGTGTATTGCAACAGTCACAGACCGCTCAGAAGGTGGCCGAGTTCCTGGAAGCACACGAGAAGGTGTGTGTGGTTTCTCTATAAGTTGTATGTGTATGATACGCGTAGATTGAGTTCCTGGAAGCACACAAGAATGTATGCAGAGCTTCCGTGTAGGCTTTGTAATTGTAAGTAAGCTTTTTTCTGTTAATCTGGTGCATAGATACATATTTTGTCATTTTCGTGCGCGCCTTGTTATTCGCTTACTATATTGCTGCCAATGCGGTCAGATTGGTAGAATATCGTTGCATGAACAAATAAGAAGCACATACACAGACAGACATAGATCACACATTTCATACATGTACATGCATATAGGCATATCTAAATCGTAATATGTACTCTCATATTGAACATACCACTTGATCGACCAGCAAGTAAGACGTTTGTAGACATGGATGGATGATCACATACGGATAAACGTATGTACGATTTTCTCACCCATTACCTCATACTGACAATGAACTTAGCATTGTATTGACGAGTAAAAGAAATTTGTCACACATATAGATATCCTCAGACGAACACGGGGCATACACGATTTTTAAAACATTCACGTCCCGCATTACATAGGTGGAGATCTGTCGCTACCCCGGCTTAGAGTCATTCCCCAAAGCACAGAAAGCAATCGCAGACAAGCAACACAAGAACAATGTACACGGCGGCATGCTGTGGTTCGAAGTGAAAGGTACGTGTTGGGTGTACGCACGTGGGGCATATATTGTGTATCTAAGTCCTTGTGGATAGTTGATCTGTTGTGTGTCTATCTCTGTGGAGTACCTACATGGTAGAAATATGGTGTTTAGCAACTTAAAGGGAGAGGCGTTTGCGAGTCTATTCTAAGTTAGAAGTGTGGCGTGCATCTCTAGCAACAGATGGGTATCCCACATCCCTGTGCACATCGTCCCTGCAGACAGCCAATCACGTCACAAAAAATCAGTGGTACGTCTCTAAACCTGATTGATACCAAGCATTCACATTCTTATTTTTCTTGCCACACCATAGGCGGGACTGACGCTGGCCGTAGGTTGATGGATTCCGTACAGCGACCTTGGAGTTTGTGTGAAAATTTGGGAGCCACAGAAAGTATCATCACCTGTCCATCAGTCATGACGCATGCCAATATGGAAAAAGAAGACCGACTCAAGGTATTTATTTGAAAGATTCATGTATATTACATTATATGTATATACATATATATATATACATACATATATACATACATATATATATATATGTATATATACATATATATATATGATGTATGTATATGTATGTATATATATATATATATTCGTATATGTATATTTGCATGTGTACATGAATATATGTATATATATATATATATATATATATATATATATATGTATATGAAAATGTATACATGTATGTAAATAGAAATATATTTATATATATATATACGTATATAAATATATGTACGTATATATTTATATATGAACGTGTATATATATATATATATATGCGTGTGGGTATGGGTATGTACATGTAAGTATATATTTTTAGCAATTGAGACAGTATCTGTAATTGGCCTCGGGAGAAATTTTTCACTGCTCCAATATTGAACAAGCAGACCGATTCAATGCACCGACTAGAATTTTATCTATAGATCATATATAGAATTGTAAGACCTGATGAAGGTGTATGATGTTGGTGTTTTATGATTCTTTGGTGCTTCGGTGTGCGCTTACGCTGAGAGAGCAAATGCAAGTGCATGCACGCATATACAACTTTATATACTATTTATATATAGAGTATACGCGTATGTCTGTATAGGTTGGAGCGTACTATCAATAGTTGTGTTTAAAGGGCTGTGAAATGACACTTTCAATTCGATCATCTCTTCTGGAGCAACAGTGTAGCGTATGATACATTTCAGGCATTTGTATAAGAGCCAGGTCCATCAATCTCTAACCTAAACACCGAGTGTCTACCTCTAGCATAAATTTATTTCAAGAACATGTCGGTTACGATCGCCACAATAACTCCTAGTGCATGTAGTGAGTGCATTTTTGGACAGGTTTCTTTGCTATCTCGGGAGGGTTCACGTTCGGGAAGGCTATTGTGCTGGTTAGATACCGTCTACAACAGCATTATATTTGTGGTTATAAGCATATTTATATTGAGCGCAGCCTTTCTCTCAAGCATTCCAAAGGCTAACTTGTGCGAAGGTGTTCCATATATATATATATAGTCTCACGCTAAACAATCATTGATATTTTTTCATAGGTTGGCATCACCGACGGTTTCGTACGCGTGTCTTGCGGCATCGAAGATACAGAGGATCTAATTCGTGCACTCAAGGTTGCCCTGGATAATCTATAAATAGAATAACCAGTGCTTGACAGAATTGAACACGGCAATTTCAATCGGAATTTGTATTTTGGTGGAAATAATTTAGTTTTTGGAAATAAACCCGATCCATATAGCAGTTATGAGCGAGATCCGAAGCCCGGATAAATAGTGTAATTCAAATTTACCATGAATGACGGAACCCCTCACTGAACCCTCTCGCACAAGAGGCACACAATCTAGTGTGATATGCAATCTTCATGTACTTTTTTTCTTTGCGTGTACATGAGAGTCATATTGTGAGCGTACAGATACTGAATACAGAAATATGCCATGCTATAGCAGACGATTTGGTGGGGCACACTAATGTATAATGTATACTGCACATACGCTGAATATTCGGGCATAAACAATAGCTATGAATCGAAAAACTTCATTTAGAGCTCAGCAAAGGACCAGCACACGCGCATAAGATTACTCAATGTTATCATTACGAGTAATAAGCTTATAGAAATGTTAAATACCATGATGCAACCAGGTATGCAGACACGCATATGAATTAGGCAAGACTTGGATAGTACCAGATTTTGTTCTAGAGCCTACAAGTCGTTTTATTATCAGCTTTGTTCGCTTTGTATGCAGCTGCTAGTATGTACTAAATATCACGGCAACCCGTGAGAAACACTGGTAGGGAGGAGCGTTGATAGATTCATCGAGGTATAAATCCAAAGACACGCTATGAAGCTATTGTAAGTGAACAGCCAGCTGTAATACAGAATCCATTAATCGGGGACAGAGCATAGTACGTGCAACGACCAAACAACCAATGACTCTTGGCCTGTTCTTGCAGATAGCGTGTGCGGTTTGCATGACTGTGAATGCTTATTCGCACACAATCGATGTATGTTGTTGGAGGTTGCGTTTGCGGATAGTCTGCCTGTTAAGACTGTTCCTCGGTTTACACTTGGCCGTTCGTATGGTGTGATGTGGTGTGGTGTCGATCAAAGCATTGCCCACGTTACCAGCATCATTCATTTAACTTCTATACGCGCGCACAATCACCAGCTTGCAATATACTTTGATGCAAACAGCCACACGCGTCATAGTCCGACTCCAGTTGCCAACTAAAAGGCTGGAAATTGTCGGTGGAAGACTATGCAAACCATTCTCGAGTGAAGCACCGATTACTGGTCTCTACAGGATGTAGCTGTACTCTCCGATCCCGTGCGAATAAAAGGTGTCACGTGTTCATTCAACTGTCAACCTGGTCCACAATGGCCGCTTGATCTCCAGCGATTAACCTCCGCGCCTTCCACAACTCTTCCGTAAGCGTCAGCCCCTCCGCAGACGTAGCATCCTCGCGTTCGTATTCATTTTCATTCGCAACCAGCCACGCGCGCAAATCAGCGCCATCCACAACAATCCAGCATCCTCCATACTTAGCTGCCCGGATAGGGGGTTCTAACTCACGCAAAAACTGGATCACCGCCGGCCCTACTACTACCACGCCTTTATGCTCGGGGTCGGCACCTGCGTTACCGATAAGTCGCTCATCGCCGCCTAGGTTACTAATAGAGAGGTTGCCTCTGTCTGCGTCCTTAATCGAACGCTTACCTCTGCCCACGTTTAGCTTGGAGAACCAAGCCGACACTCGCTCTCGTTCGTGTGCTGCAGTGGCACGCCATCGGGTCTGACATAAACGTAAGGCGCGTCTCACGGCCGCTCGCGCCATAGCCTGAGAGTGGTTGTGCAAATCAACAGTACCAGTCACAGCCCACGACAGCCAACACCTCTGTATCTTATCCACATCCTGAATCATATTGTCGTACAGAACATCTGCCAGTTTGGCTGTCTGCGCAATACCACTCAGCGCCACTATAGCCACCCCGTACCAGCTGTCGGTCTTACTCAGACCGCTGAGGTGGCTCTCCACGAGCATGTCCACCAAAAGCTCCGGTTGATTACCCACCTCACACGCCTTTACGACAGTATTGTACGTGGCCGCATTCGGCTTTAGCTGCCTGCTTGCACACTCTCGCAGGAGCTCAAGGGACTTCGCCCAGTCACCCTCCACCGCATACCCATACATCGCCGCGTTATAGCACTCGATTCTCAGCACAGGCATTCGTTTCTCTGCCACCCGCAGCAGGGTAAGGCCCTCTTCCTTCCGCCCGGCGCGTGCATGGGCCATGATCAGCTGACTGTAATAGTCCAGGTGCCAATTCAACCCCGTCTCTGCCGCGGCTGTCTCCATCTCAGCCCACAATCCGAGGGCAGTGGTCAACTCTCCCGCATGCGCACACGCCGCTAACGCTGGCCCATACTCTGACTTCCCTGGCGCTAAGTTCTTCGCCTGCATCTCTCTCAGTAGGTCCACAGCGGCCTCCCACTTCCTGCCCCTCTCGCACGCGGATATGGCACTGCCATATGCGGCGCGGCTGGGTTCGATACCAACGGATCGCATCTCTCTGAGTAGTCCCACACACTCGTGGCTTACCTTGTCCAGAGCAAGCGCCTTCATCACATTCGTATAACAGAAGTCGTCTGGCTGCATCTCACCCCCGCTTTGCATGGTTCTGAGCAGGCTCAGCGCAAACATGTGGCCCCCGTACTGTCCACACATCTCGAATACCATGTGGTAGTCCCTCAGTCGGTTGTGTGTCTGTGGCATTTCCTGCAATAGCTCATGGGCGAGTTCCAACTCGTAATTCTGTCCGCATGCGGCAATCACCGCCGCATACATGGTCACGTCTGGCTTGATCCCCTCCTCCGGGAGGTCTCGCAGAATAGCCAAACCTTCTTGAGACTCTCTGGCACGTGCACAAGCCTTTAGTACCTGCTGATACATATACCCTCGGTCTTCTAACCCCCCTACAGAAGCCCTGTGAGCAAGACGCTTCGCCGTCTCCCATTTGCCGTCCGCCACACACGCCTTCGCAGCATGGCGGTAGGACGCCGCGGTTGGCGCGATGTTGTTGCACTGCATCTCACGCAGGAGATCAACGCACATATCCACTTCGTTGTCGCACGCCAAGACATTCAGGGTAGCATTGAACACGGCGACATGAGGTACCAGACCGACGCGCTGGAAATCGCGACACATGTCCAAAGCCAGCATAGACCGGTCACTCCCACAGAAGGCATGGATGGCACTCTCGTATATCTTGACCAGGCCTAAGTAGTCAGGACGTGCCTCTGCTTCCAGTGCTTCTTTGATGATGGTTTTGGCCAGATCCACCTGTCCTCCGCGCACACATGCAGATACCACACCCCGATAGGCGGACACATCCGGGGACATCCCTGCCTTCGAGCGCATTGTGTGCAAGTGCTTCACGGCCAGTTGCCACTCCCCCTCTCGCGCGCAGAGATAGATATGCCTGTTAAGTGATAGAAAGTTCCTTGGGTTTTTACTTAGAAGCGCCAATCGCGGCTCTGGTGCTTCGGATGTCCAGCGTTCACTCGTAACGATTTCATAGTAGTGTCTAGCGACCGGTGGCAAGCCCAGTACTTCCATATCGTAGAGCACATTGAGGCCAAGATGATGCTTTTCCAGCCTAATGCTAAAGTATACGCACTTCTCCAGCGCAATAGGGGTAGGCGGTAGTCCCTTGAGTTGCATTTCCGCCAGCAAACGGAATACTTCCTGATTGTCAGATTTTTTAATAAGATTGTCGTACGTTTGCGCATCCTCCATATTCGATGGCTTTAGAGTAAGTATCCTGCCTTGGAGGCCCTTATCCATCTTCTCATGACTGAAAATTCGGAAAGACTCCGCGTCTAACCGTACACCAGAATCCGACATTTCCAAAGCCAACTCGTTAGTCAATCCATAGTTCTGATGTCGTATACACGCCGATATCAATGTATTATACGCTGCCGTGGTAACGGGCACAGAGAGAACACTCTGTATGTGACGCAGGAGACTCAACGCCAATCCAAGCTCACCCGCATGCGCACAGCTGTGTATGACGTTGTATAAAATTCGGGTGGTGACTGGCACATTGTCCTTCTGCATATCCCGTAACAGGCCCAACGCGGTCAGGTGATTCTCCTCCTTGGCACAGTCCGCTATCAAGGCACTATACACTCCAACATCGGGCGACAGACGGCCCTTCCTCGTTTGCAGGATATGTAGGTACCTGTACGCCTCTTTAAACTCACCTGCTCTGGCACAACTGGCTATCACACCCTTGTACGTAATCAGATCCGGTGTCAGACCACTCTCCTGCATGATCCTTAAGAACCTCACGGCTTCGACTCCAGCACGTCCACGCGCACACGCTTTGATCACGGTGTTGTACGTGACTGTGTCTGGCCGTATATCACGCGCCAGCATCTCCTCAACGAGGGACTCGGCCTTGACCCATCTCCCGCCCGTGCTATACGCGGCTATCCGTGTGTTGTACATAATCACGTCGGCACAAACCCCATCCTCCCGCATAGCTTGCAGCAAGTTGTCGGCCTCGGCCTCGCCGCCGTACTGGAACACCCCGGGAATCAATGCATTGTATGTTGCAGTATTGGGAGGGCTGCCCATGGCCCTCATCTCGTCGAGCAGGTCTACGCCCACACGCCAGGTCCATTTCTTATTCACACTCATGCACACCTTGATAAGTGTGTTGTACGCCAGCGTGTCCACAGCCACACCTTTAGCCTGCATGGCGCGGAACATCTCCAGGGCTTCCGTCCAGCCTCGTTGCCCTTTGGCACCCGTGGCTCTCATAGCGCTGGTGAACAGGACCGCATTGGGTTCTATACCCGCCTTGTGCATATCCTCCAACACCTTAGCAGCGACCATAGGTGCATCGCCCACCGCACACGCCTTCAAGACAGAGCTGTAGGTGTACACATCCGGCGGCACTCCCTTGGCCTGCATCTCTCTCAGCACCGATACAGACCCTTCCCACTTGCCCGTGCGAGCATAGCCACCCAGAAGCACCCCATAGGTCTGCTGTGTAGGCGTAACTCCGCTGGTGTGCATGGCTCTGAGCACAGTCAGGCCATAATCGTACCGGCCGCCCTTGACACACGCCGAGACCACACTCGCATACGCACTGATGTCCAGCGGCAGACGGTACTTCTGCGCATCTCCGAACACTTGCAGCGCCCCCTGCCACAGGCCCTTTTTGTCGTAATGTGCCGCAAGCCGCCGGTATAGGTGTAGCACACTCTCACTGGCACGAGCGTCTAACGGTATGTTCAAGCTACGCATCTGCTTCAGAACGCCTTCAAGGGACTTTATATCGGTGAGTTCCGAGTTCGCTATGGCCCCGTCAAACCCGCGATAACTCCTGACCACGTTGTTGTAGGTGTGTGTGTCGGTGCTCATCCCTTTCGTATTCATGGCTGCTAACACTTCCAGCGCCCTTCGGAAGTCGCCCCTCTGCGCACAACTCTGAATGGTTTGGCTGTGTAAGCACCACACCTCCGAGCCACTCTGTGAGTCTACCGGCTTAATATACTCCGGTTGGCGTGCCGGTGCACGCTCCAGAGAAACCTTTCGAGTATCATTGCTTTGCTTGGTGATATCTGGTGAGGTTTCCTTCCGAGATTTAGGCCGAGATACTTGTGAACCCATTATGCCTTTACTGACATATGTACTGGTTTTCCTTTTCGACAGAGTTGGGTCCATAGCTTGCCTATGATCAGTCGTTGACCTTTGTTCTTTCGTTCGTATGCATGTCGCATCCCTGGCAACGCCAGTTTGATAAGTTTCTGTCGTGCGTGGTGTTTGATTGATTTGCCTGGACCGGTCAGAGTTTGTTGAGTGTGATACCATATCGGATTGCCTCGAACTTTTAATCCTACCCATTATATCCAATACCACTTTTGGTTCACTGCCATTGTCCGACAAAGCGCCCCTGTCCTCCAACTTCTCTGTCAAACTTGCATTGCCAGCACCTCTCCTGCTTCCCATGTATATTTCTTTGTCTGTAGCGGTCGCATCAAACTTATTAGAAGGCTTGGTCACGCGTGTGGATGGACTGGTATCTACCTGGACAAATTCTTTTATTTTGCTCAGTCTATCCATGATATTATCAGACTCGATCTCTAAGAGGGCATCGTTTCTTTCCGACACCCTATCTACATACACAGCTCTAACACTCTCACTCCCCCTCATTCTATTATCTCTCATTGCGTTGTGTTTGAATGATGTTCCATTACTTTGCGTGGTTAATTTCATCCGAATAGCTCGTGCCACGCCATCCTGTGTTGTGCGTACAGATGAATACATTCCCCCTTGTTTCTGTTTTGACGCATTCATAAGCTGTGCCGATCCGCCGAGTGCCTTACTGGAGATTCTCCTGAGACAGGTGACTGTGCATGCACCTGCAAAGCTCGGATTGCACACTGGCCATCCCCACTGCATGTTCGCAGCATATGAGCTGCCTGCGTGCCTTAATCTACTCATATTGTTCAGCTATGGTCTTGGTATAGGGTACGATTTCGCACCTGTCACAAGGCGGATCCTCGACCGATGCTTTGTGTGTGGCAATACAATGATGGGAGACAGTGTATATATCCTCTGAAGGGTCACCGTCTCACCGATGTTAAAACTAACAGTCTGAAGCAACAGCTCATTAGCTCGGCCGGCCTATATTTATTATTCGTTTATACATTTATATATATTGTATCAGCATGTATGTAATATAAATATATAGATACGCCGCCTTGTGCAGTGAATAGGTGTAAATATACATACAATAAGGGGGTTTTCTAATTTTGGGTGTGAAGTTGTGAACAGTGACACTGTGAAAGCAAACTATGAAATGTGATGAGTGACGAGTGACTGGTCTGTGAAGCGCCCAGTGTCAGTTAACCTCATATCGTTGTATTTTTAAATTGCAAAACGTATATTTACTTCCTTTTCAGTGTCCCGTTTATATTAGGAGGGCCATACTCCAGGTCAGACAATAGATATATACACACCAGATTTTTGTCCTGTTATCAAAAATCGAGACCAAACTTTTAAGAATAGGTGCACTTTTCAGGTTACAATATACAGGTCAAAATATACTAAAATACGTTGCAACGCTAAGATATAAATAATCCGTTAAACGTTGAAAGTCAACTTTTATATATTTATTACATGACACCAAAAGTTATGACCGTGTGACCCCGGTTGTCCCGTTTTTTTTGTTTATTTATACACATATATATGCGACTTTTTGTTTTTATTTAGTTTTATATATATATATCATAGCCTTCAGAATCATACAAAATGTTCAAAATAATTGTGAGGAGTGAAGAGGGAGTCGTCCCCCTCCCGGTTGTCAACACAAGAAAACAATATCCAATCGAAAATCACTCTCAATAGAGGACGCCGACTCGCCGGTCGGCAAAGTGGCAAAGTGCCGACTCGGCACTGTGGGCAGTCGTCACTTTTCACTTTTGACTTTGTGCGTGCACACTGCACGCACACAAGAAGAAGGAGTTAGTAACTATTTACATACTGATAACTGATGACTGATGAGTGATGACTCGGCAATTCGGCACCCGGCAAAGAGCAAGCTCTGCGAAGTTGATATTTGTGCTTTGTGGAATTCCGCAACAGTGATTCGCAACTGATAACAGTGAAGTGTAAACAGATAAGCAGATTGTCAGATTGAGATGGATGTGAAATGTGAATATCATAAAATAAATATTCTACAGGGAACCTTGAAGAATACTATTTGCGGCTATTTTTATGTATCACTATGTCCATCTTTTTAATTCTTTGACGTGTACGACAGGTGAAATTGCTTGCCCCAAAGATTAGTCATGCCAGACTATTCTTGTCTATTTACTTCATATAAGCTTAATAAATCAGTTCAGGTTCTAATATTGAGAGTTGCTGTCTGTCATCGTGCCTTATACAGGAATACAACTTCTCTCTGTGGGAGAATTCTTTCTTTGTGCGATTCTATAGTAAGCTACTTTCTCATGATATTATGACTGGTTCGCTGGAGTAGAGTCCGTCCCACAACAAAGTGAGTGGCCAACGTTGTATTTTGAAGGATATTGTGTAAAAGATGCAGCTAGTACGTATTCTGTGCATTTAGTACGTATTCTGTGCATCATGTGGTAAATACGAGATAATATTTTTGGTTGGAGAAACAGTGCCAAGAAGGTGGCATTAATGACATGCTATATCGCAGAAAAAGTTGATTTTCTGTGCTGCACCCGCATAAATTCGCACTCAGTCGCTGCGTGCTTATTGGCATTCCTCATGAGAGTTGACCCTGTGCCATTGTGTCATGCTATGGATATAGTGGGGATGCAAAACCAATATATACAATAGATGGCCGCAAAATAGTAGAGAGCCTACTGCCCTGATGTTAGATGTATCAGCTTACATACAATACGATCTCAAATATAATATTTATTTTCTGTAGGAAAAGAGTTTATCCATCCATCGAGCGGCACAAAATGGCGATACGGCACGACTGAAGAGGATTTTGAGTGAAGGCATAGATGTTAATCTTCGAACTCATGATAGATCGGTGTGTTGCAAGATTATAAACTGAGATCTATACTCGAATATGTTATTGGCAGCAACACGTGTGTGTGGAACGCTCTAAATTTACGGATAGAAAATTTGCGAACACAGGCTGTGTACATATTTCAATAACATGTCCGTGCATAGGTTTGTGTGTATGTGCTATACGCTAAACTCGAGCTTGATGCATTCTCGGGAATAGAAAAACGTGTCTAGTATATGTATTCGTGTTACCGAGTTTGATTATAGATCATTACACACTCACACACACACTCTCTCTTTCTCTCTCACAAATACACGCGCACCATCACACACAAACACACACGCACACAATCACATACACACATACACACACACACACACACACACATATATATATATATATATATATATATCGTATTGAAATATGTCTACAATCTGTTCTGAACTAATAGTGACCAAGTGTGCTTCGGCTATTTTTGATGATTTTAACTACCATTCTATTTTTGGGGCTAATACTCAGTGTCTATTGGTGGCGCTTGTCTATAATGAGTATGACTCTCATTTGGTATTGATCTTCCCTTCACGCATTTACTTGCCAAGAAGCTATTGATCTTCCCTTCACGTATTTACATGCAAATATATATATATATATAATCCACATTCCGTTGCATGTTTTGTTTCTTCCACCAATAGTTTTTTGCAGATTCAACACCTTTGCATGTCGCTTCTAGCGCTGGCAATATCAATAGCGTTGATCTATTATTGGTAAATGGTGCGGATGCTTCGCAGACGGACTCTGTAAGTTTCTGCCAGTGAGCATCAATAAAAAAACACAAAACCTATATATATACGCACACACACACACACATTTATATATAGATATGTGTTTGCACTTCACTAGATAGAGCTTACGTATAATTTTACACGAATCGACATTCATTTCGTTTTGCTCTCTGGGTGTCTCTGTGTCTGTGTTGTGTGTACCAAAATAATTTTTGGGCAGCCTGTGTAAATTTGCTATAGCAATTATACAAAAATGAAACATCACGGAGATACCAATTGTCCAACTATCTGTGATATATTGTGTTTAAAAAGACTCCATATTAGGCGGCGAATGACAGCAGATGCTCTGAATATACCCAGCTCAAGCATCTGGCGTTCTCGCTGAATCTTTCATGGAAGTGTTGAAACTCGGGGGTTAGTATGTTCTTGTGTACGTGTTACTCCATTGCACATGTTAAGTTATTCCTTTTTCTTCTTTCGCACAGTGTGGTCGCACAGCGTTGCAGTAAGCTCAGCTGTGGAACAGATCTCAGGTGGTGAAATGGCTCGAGCTGCACCTTAAGGCGACGAGCAAGGTATATGAGCCGTTTGCGTTCAATTGCATCCGTTTATACTCGTCGCTCTGTGTCTCATTCAGTTTGCTGACTAAACGGCACATTTGTGTTGTTTTTCGTGTAAGATGTATGTGCATACGTATGATATGGCGAGTGTTCTGTTAGAAGTGTTTGTAACTGTGTGTCTACTACTAGAAATCACCAATCTCTCCTCTTCACTGCATCTGATCAAGAATCCGTACGGCATATAGTTCATATTGTTGATAAGAATACGTACTGGTGTACTTCATATATACCTGTCATTTTGAGCCCTCATTTTATAATATATACCTCGTATATCACATTGCATCCTACGATGTTTACTTATCTTGTACACGCTCATAAATATCGAGGCTGATGTATATACATTTCAACTTTAACATAGTGAGATGGCTGACCAACACTTATCGCAGGAGACGAACAAAACTCGTCGAACGAATGCGGATGGAAGAGAGTGCACAGTAAACTATAATACTGTGGAACCTCCACCCATCACGAGGAAGTGCCCGTGCCGAGTCGACAGATGGCCGAAACAGTCAAAAGGATACCTGGCGGAAACTATCACAAGGGACTCCTGACCATACAGCAGAGTTGTGGCATAAGCGCATGCAGCAGTGATACGGCGTTGGACATGCACGTGACGAATACACTAAACAGCTTCAAGCTGATTGGTTGGGGTTTACAGGGAACGAGTGAGAACTACCATATCCACTATCCCGAGAGCAGGAGCGCAACGTCTGGTGGGAACTTGTGTGCGAGTGTAAGTGGTGATTGGAAATCCGATTTGAAAAGGACCCTGACATCTCTGGCATACAGGGGTGTGAGCCTGGCAACCAAACCTCTTACCAACAAGCGTCTTAATGAATCAACCATTCGCACAATACCACCTCACGCACAACCAGATTTACAGGGTTCTAAGCCCGACTCAGAGGTACAGGTTTGTCCACAAGGCGATAAATTCCCAGATGCCTTAGAGGGATTCGGTGAGAAGTCGGCGCGGGTTGTCATGACAACAACTATGGATACGAACACGGTTGGGAAACCACCACTGGGAGATGGAATCCTGTACACATTCAAAGCAACACTCGAAGCTCACTCCCCGGGGATATAGGTAGTTCTATAAATAGCTCTGTAAGATACAGGAACACATCTCGGAAATGGAAAGGGAACAAAGAAGTTCGCATTCACACCTTCGGCGGGTTGAGTGCGTGTCAACCCAGCGAGTTGAAAAGTGTGCCGGACAATTTTACATTCACGCAAATGACGGAGACAACCAGTAAATCCAATGATAAGAGTGTTGTTGATGAACGCCGGAATGCACTAACATCAGCGACTGGACAAACTGGTTCGGTTAGCTCAACTTCCACGCTGTCTGGTTTAAAAGTCTCAGAATGTACCAATGCTCGCCCGCCCTCGCAGGCGCAAAGAGACACACATAAGGTACCCGGGGCAAGTACGACGAATACTACAGCTTCCGCTGACAAAGAAGCACTAATCATCGCAGCTGCACAAGAAGGATGCAAGAAGCAGGCGCGTTTAGGTTCAGGTATACATCAACCCTCCGCACTCATTTTGGTACGCAGCGAGCCTTCAGATCCATAGTCACACCCACAGCCAGGCCATGCGCTATACCTACTTCGAAGTCTAGATACAACTGACAATGTGCAAGTACCACGAACGCCAGAGGTATGTACAGGCACTGTGCCTGCGGCAGCGAGGGTAAGTGCTACAGAGGGGGACATCCATACATCGCTTCAGAGGATTTCACCGGCATACACCCGGAGGATACTGTGCAGCGCAGATGATTCTGATGGGTTTAGCAGTGACCTTAGCCACGCGAGTTCTGACGATGCGTTTGACTTTGTTTTAGGTAGGGCTGGGAATGTTTCAGCCAGCCACGCAGGTCCTGGACCGGGAAGGGTCATGGTCTCAGGCGGACGAGACACATGCACAAAGGTATCGGTCATAGACAGGAACGAGCACATCACAGGACTTGGGTTGGCAGCAGTAGGTGTGCGAAATGTGGTTCAGGAGGTTAGAGAGTTGAAGGGTTCTGATTCGGCTAAGACGAGACGTTCCCGGGAGGAGGTACGCGGCAATGTATCTAACATGCTTATAACCAGGAAGCATGCGTGTGATGACGTGAGTATGAAGGTTTTAACTCGAAAAGAGATGTCAATGGTCCACGAGAGTATGGATGCAGGGAAATCGCACACTCGAGCACGACAACCTTGTGTCGATATGGTTAACGCAGCGATGTCGAAGAAGAAATCGTCTGCTGTTATCACTGGTAAAGAAATGTCCAAGCGGCATGCAAGTACTGATGTGGAAATACCAGATACTCCTGAGCAACAATCTCTTATCGATGTAGGAGAGATAGAGACAATTAGGAAGCAACCGTGTGTCAAGGTCAAGGATGATATGATCCAGGAGGAGGCCAGCATCGATGGGGCTAAGAACAAGATGACTGGGAAACAGCCATTCAGTGATGCAGCTAAGGTGGACTTATCTGGATCGCAGGTATGCGATTATGCGGCGACTATGAAGTTAAACGGGGAGGAATTGTGTAGTACTGTGTCCAAGACGGAAATGAGTGAGAAGCACTACGGTGCGCATGTTGTTAGAGTAAGTGTGACTAAGCAGCAAGACGGTGACGTCGAGATTAAGAAGGGAGAGAGGGAGAAATCAACGAGACAGATAGTTGGTGAAACGGCCACCGGGAGGGTGTTAAAACAAAAAACCTCAATCGATACGATTCAGAAGCCGATGTTCCAGAAGCCAACATGTGCTAATGTGCCCCAGAGGGCACAGGTGTGCATTAAGGTTCAAACTACTAAGAAGAAAGTAAGGAGGCCAGAGGTTACATCTACTAACGAGAGAGTAGCGGGGGAAGCGTTTTCATCCACGAAGAGTAAAGTAGGTGGGGTAAAGGTTACATCTTCTGTGCAGAAAGTTAGGGGAGAAGAGATCTCAACTAAGGGGAAAGTAGGGGGGGCGAGAGGTTCCATCTTCTAAGGAAAGGTGGGAAGACCAGAGATTCCATCTACAAAGGAGAAAGTAGCAGGTGCAGAGATTTCATCTACTATAGGGAGAGTAGGGGGACCAGAGGTTTTATCTACTAAGCTGAAAGTAGGAGGGTCAAAGGTTCCATCTACTAAGCGGAAAGTAGGGGAGGCAGAGGCTCCATCTACTATGGGAAAAGTAGGAGGGGTAGATATTCAATCTACTAAGGAGAAAGTAGGGGGGCAGAGGCTCTATCTACTGAGGCGAAACTAAGAGGGTCAGAAGTTCCATCCTCTAAGGAGAAAGTAAGAGAGCCAGAAGTTTCATCTACTAAAGGGAAAGTAGGAACGCCAGAGGCTCGATCTACTAAGGAAAATGTAGGAGGGGTAGAGATTCCATCTACTAAGGAGAAGGTAGCAGGGGTAGAGATTACATCTACTAAGGAGAAAATAAGGGGGGCAGAGGCCCCATCTACTGAGGCGAAAGTAGGAGGGCCAGATGTTCTAGTCAACATGTGTACCAAAACTAAGAGCGACGGTGGTTCTGGAAATAGCATTGCCAGCACAAAGAAGGTTGCTAAGGGAGAGAAAGAGAAAGAGTGTCCGGGAAGTCCAGCTGTTGCTAAGAAAATCAAAACAGGTGTCATTACAAAGTCTGCTGAAAGTACAGGTCAACCGGATATCAACAGCTGTCCCAGACCTGTGGTGGCGAATGAATGTGACGGTGAGGATGTCGTTGTCGGTGACAAGGCGGCTGCTAATGGGAAGCAAATTTGTTCTAAAGTTTCGACCACTGCCGCGTTCGTTAATGTAAGTGCTAGTACCGAGGTGGCGAAAAACAGTTGGCAAAGGGCGAATGTAGTAATGGAAACGATATTGTTGATACTGAAAAGATTGCTACTGGGGACGCAGCACATCCTAAAAAATTAGGGTCTCGTATGGATGCGCATATACGTACTTTACCTCTCGCAGATAGTTCTAATTATAGCTTTGGCTCAGAAAAGAAGGATTTTTCTAGTCAGGCAATGCGGGAATTGACAGTGAATCTTCATATGTTGACGAAAACATTGGAAAGGTTAGTAAAGGATGAGAGTACGATTGACCGCGAAGTGGACCCCCAACAAACGAATCAGTGCGAGAAGAAAGCTGCGGTCACAGCAAAGCAAAAGAGTCGCAATGATAAGCAAGGTGTACAGCAGAACAGCTTTAAAATGAAGCATGTACAGAGACAACCTGTCCAGGTGAATATCTCCAGCGAACAAACCGCACAAAACACCATCAGAAAAACAATCATTGTACAGGAATGCGAGAAGAGAGGGCGTTCCCATACCTTTGAACAAACGTATAGACCGATGCAGCCTCAACTGCAACAGAACGGGAGTCGCAGGCAAGAGCCGAGAGAGAGCCAGGGCTATGTATACACTCCTGCTCCCCAAATACTCCAATAGTTACCCCTACGGCGCCATACACGGCCGTGGTTTTACAGCCAAGTATATGTACAAGATCGACCACAGCAATCGCTGTACTCCACCCAGTCTGACCAGGGATTATATCGAAAGACGCCATATGTACAGTATTATACACCCCCGGCACCCTTGGCGACACACCGGATGAGTGATCCAGCACCTAGACCTTCACATACTCAGATGTATGCAGTCTCGGAGAATTATGCCATGCCCCCCGCATATCTACCACAGCAGCACACACACATACACGGTCCTCATCAACTACCCTACGCGTACGTTCCATCGGGAAGTAGTGCCCTGCCGTTTACGGGTATGCACGCACAGCACCGGCAGCCAGATGTGAACATACCTGCATACGGCCCACAAACAGCTATGCATCCTAGCCAGCTGCACACACATGCCCCTGTGCACCGTCGTAAGCCAGCCCCAGTATCGCCGTGACCAACGTACCCACAAGCGCAACAACAGACGGAGGGCACGGGCGTGTCTAAGGTTCCGGCTTCGTATAGACCACAGACACTGACTAGTGCTGTGCAGAGTGTCCATTTAAGATGTACACGTGGGGACGTACACGCCGGGAAGCATATGCGGCGTCGCGTGGGTCGGAGAAACAGTCCTGTCCACCGGAGATTGCAGGTGACATGGCTAGACAAAATGCGCAGGTCAATCCAGATACTTCAACAAGCTCAGCGTGTGAGTGGAATACGGGCGAGGCAGATAGGACGGCCAAGAATGACGGGGTAGTGACAGTGGTGCCAAGAATAGGAGTACAGTCGGCTGCACCGGCGCATCTCGAAGGACACACCCACTCAAAGGCGTTCCTCGAGGCGCAGGCCCAGAGGTTAGTGCATACCCACAGCCGAGCACAGACACATGCACACGCCCACGGGTACAACCACATGCAGGAACCCAACATATACGTGCAGTTCCATGGAGGCTCGACTGTCGTCTCGCATCTGCGCCTGCCTGTGGATAGCTTGTCCTACAAATACAACCCCGAAGCACCCAAGTCTAGCCCGATGGACTTGGATCGGGGACTAAAGAATGACAACAGCGACGCGTCCGACTTGACATCGCAGGGATCCGATCCTTTTGTGCAGGGTTATATGGCACGGCGAGGACTCAAGGTATGACTGTTCTTGATTAGTTGTATGTTGTGCCAATGTCGGTGTAGGTCTTTATGGCCAGGTTGTTTGGTGTGATTTTCTACCACATGTCACGGCGGTGCGCACACGTGTCGTCTTGTGTCTTCTTGCCTGCATAGCACGTCTATCAAAATTTGGCTGACCAACCAAACTCAGGCAGAACACATGCGCATGTAAGAGTACTTTGTGTTGGTTTCAATTACTAGGTCGTAGGCGAATGAGCAAACAAGCAAGTACACATGGGTGTAAAAGTACCGCCAGCGTCAACATATTTTTTTGTGGGATACCGTTCGAACCAGCTTTGGAATACAGTCTCATCTAGATCAACAGATCTGTCAACGTACATATTGATAGATAATATCCGAGCGCAGCGTTGGATCTCCATATTCTCTCTTTACACATCGAAGTGGTTCTGAATTGCCACTCTCAGTCTAATTTAGTTTAAACTAAGACTGAATCTATAATATTTTTCAAACGACAAAGTATGTTCGTATAATAATTCAAACAACTATCCAAATCAAATTAAAGACGATAGTTGTAACATGCCTTTGCGTGGCAATAGCAGCATAGAACAAGCACTGAATGACCCTTGACTCACTTAACAGATAACTACTGGAGTTAACTAATAACGGGCCATCCAGCATGTAATTGCCACATCATGGATGATTTGACTGGGTTAATCAGAACCACTATGCAAGTAGTATTGGGGCGTGTCAGATATCGATTGCGGACAGACTAACAGTGTGCTACTATGCGGCGTTGATCTAGACTAACTGGCACCGATGTCCAACATTCAATGGAGAATAAATCATCTATAAAATGTACAGTAGAACCTGCCCCTGAACTCTGGAAGGTTTCGATCATTAGCATGTGTGGTTGTCTGACATCGTATCGTTGTTTATACGTAACTGCTGCAGTAGTTATTTGGTGTGCATGCTAGGATGCTGAACCTTGAGTGTTAAGTAAGCACTATATAGTGTTGCCGTCTTCTCCATATGCATTCATTTTTCATCGATGTGCGCATCTTTCGCAATATTTGTGCCATTCCACCGCGTAGAAGGTAGTCTTCACGACAGGTGTTACTATATCGGATTATGATCTTTGCTAGTAGCTAGGCCAGATCTACAAGTTCAGGTAAATACGTGGCTGCTAGCCTAACAAAAGGTATATCTCAATGATAGCAGTGCTAAACCATCTGCAAGCGCATATATGAGCACAGCAGTATACATCTGCTAGACTCGTTCCGAACGGCTGATACGAGTTATCAAAGCCATACGTGGTATCAGTCTTTTAGTGTGTCGGATTGGTTTCACATGTGGTAGAGCGTACAGCTAGTGATCATATGTATTTGCGATGTTTCGTTGCTGAGCACGGAATCGACGGACTTTGCATCACAGTATGCGAACATGCCCGTGGATTCAAAGCATACGCTTTACATGTAATTTGGCTATCTTAATCGAACACAGCCGCAACCGTAGTATACATACATGAAAAAGGTGCATCTACTCACACTGCAAGTAAACCAGAGTATACTTCATGGCGCGCACTCTCAAGAATCACATCTCTTCCTTACCATAAATTGCGTACTCACGACATACATATGCGGCATAACGCGTGGGTAGCACTGGATTAGGACTGGAAGTGTACGCGATGTTGCCCATTGCGGCAGCAGTGCACAGGTCCGATACCGCCAGATGGATGGTGATGCCGCGTTGAGACCATCTGATGCTCGGGTGCGAATGCACAACCATTGAAGATTAGATATACATGTATATACCAAATATACCACATACTTACCCTAAAATCTATCGCAGGACACCAAATCAGCAATATATGTAGTGTACTTTGTGCATTGAACTGTACGACAAAGAGTAGAACATTATTTTTTTATCTTCTGGGAAACGTCACCTCCGGCGTGATTTCTTGTGCTGTTCTTTCCTTTTTTTGCGCTTTTTCCGCCGCCCATGGTCTCTACTTGCGTCGTCACTGTCACTATCCGAGTCACTATTGTCACTGCTATCGCTTGTACTAGAACTATCCCAATCCTCTCCACTGCTACCTGAGCTGGACCGTTTGGCTGACCTCCCTTTGCGGTGCTTTCTGTGTGAACTTCGAGACTTAGATCGTTTCCTGCGCTTGCCCTTAGTCTTAGGTATGTCATTGTCACTCCGACGTGCGCGCTTCCTATGGGTGGTGAATGAGGACAACCAATGCATACGATTGTATGAGGTCGGATCGAAGCAAACCCGATATACGCGCGCAGCAATACACAAGCACGTCAACTGAAATACATCACACGATTTTAATTACGTACGTACCTCTCTCGAGATGCTGTCGCTTCTTCCTCTAGAGCTGACATGGCGGCCTTCAGAAGGGCCTTTTTGCGATTGGCCTCCTGTTGGATCTGTTTACGGATATTTACAGTTGGTAGATTGAGTGCGTGGTAAATCTGGAGATTGTCGACTGAAGGGTGCAGGCGTGCAACTACTATACCAACAAGGTGCCGAAACTGTCGCACGTCTCATTCTAAAGTGGTTCATGCACCAATTGATCCGAACTATTCATTGGCGCCAACCCAGCACCATAACGAACTGCGGTAATATACTGTAGAAGCCGAAAGATTTTGACAGGTATACACATAACAAAACATGACTGAGTATTCAGCCCGACGTCACCATGCTCAAATGTATGTAAATTGCATCTCTGAGCATTTGTCAGGTACGTTCACTCATTCGTATTTACAGACAAAGCCTTGTATATCCAGTACTTACAGCTTCGAACTTGGTATGCTGTGCTAGCTTCAGAAGATCAAATGTCTCCTGGTTGTCCGGACATAATTTGTGCGCTCGTTGAAGGTCGTTCATTGCCTTCTCCAGTGCTTTCTCGTTCATACCAGATGATTTCTACAATGCAATTTCCAACACCGAGTAGTTGCATACACCAGGTGAGCATTACGAGTATGAATGGCATTATCACAAGTTGACAACTCTAGCATAGCATGGGCCCAATACTTCAGAGGACATGAGCTGAACTGCTTACCCTACATTTGGAAATGTGTACTATAAAAATATATCCATATAAGTATATATGCATATATAGTTACATACGTCTGAAGCTCGTGAACGGTGCATATCCATCAATCCCTTCGCACGCTTCACCAGCGCCGCGCTCAGGTACTTGACTGCGTTCTTGTGCTCTACATTCTGATTCACAGCTTCTTGCAGGTCCTGACAAATTTGATGAGCGAGAATGGGAGACAAAGTCGGCGGTTGGGGTATAAGCAGATTGTGCGTACTCTCGTGCACGTTCAAGTGGTTGGCTTATGATCTGTTTGCTATGCGAGGTTTGCAAGCAACTGAGGTGACAGGGGACTGCTATTACTCTGGTTGTATGTGCACGTGTAAGTATGTGTTGACTGAGCAATTGGCTGTCAAGAGTAGCAAAGAAAATAGAAAAATGCGAGCAAGACATCACAAAGAGTTCTTATTCTATTTTTCCATATGAGACCTTGTGGCTAAGGATCTGACTTTGAAATATAGAGTGCGAACGCATTGACTTTAATATGTGGAGTGACGTCGCCGGGTACCACCATGCATACTAGCTGGAGAATACTTAACGGATGTATTAAATGCAAGTGCCCACAAAGGTTCCAAGGTTGTGGTAGCGGGTTGTACAATTCAACGCTGCTACAAAATAACAAACAGTTTGAGTTCTCGCTTAGCACTCTTAGTCACGAGTGTGAATAATAACATATAAATCAATGCTTGCGTCTGTGCCAGCTGCTTCCGCCTTTGGCATTAAACAATGATATTTTTAAACAGAAACAGAACCCTATCATGTGCTGTACATACAGTTAGCTTAAAAAAGTACGAATAGAGTCATTTGTGTATAACTATTGCAGGTGTACCTGGAATGATTATGATTCTATACAGAATCGGTACTCGCGCGTACGCAACTGTGTCCGATAGCAAACGATACAGTGTTAACATGTTTCAGCGAAGGACAGCGCTGGGTAGATGGGGATGTGCGTTGAGAGCACCGACAAATACATACTCAAAATAAAATATTATTCAGACCCCATGTTGATTCCATACAATTATAGCTGCGTCGAGCTTGTTAGTCTGTATGTTGACTGCCCCGCGCGCCACCAGGGCTTCAATGTACTTCGGACACACACTCAATGCTTCGTTGAGGTACTGGTGACATTTGGAGGCATTCCCTCCCGCCTTCAGAACAGTCACTGCTTTGGCAACGCTGGTGAGATAATAATGCCACATGAGCAAAAAAAAAGCGACATACTGTGGTCAGCCTAGAGATCAATGGTGAGACAATAATGTCACTGTTGACAAAATAAGCGACTTCGGCGAGAGGAGGGGTTAAACTGTGGGTACGCTGTGAACTACTGATGAGGTGATAGTGCCAGTGGTGACGAAAACCGCAAATCAGAGCAGGGTCGCGCCAGACTGAAGTCAGTCTCAATACTGTTGGTGACATGATAACTACCGAGATGATAGGAATATTCGATCAGAATTGTAAATTGTGCCAAAATTTGGTCGGCATGAGCATCATTGGCAGTGACTTGCAGCAGTATGTACTATAGACATAGCCACTACTGTTGACGAATCGTGAAAGCCGGTGACAGGTTTGTACGGCCGTACTAAACAGGAAACTCAATAATGTGCATTCGATTACAATCAACCCCACTTACAAGTTATGGGCCAGTAGCTGATTCTGTTTGCTGCGGATGGCCTCCACGCAGGTGTCGTTGGAGTACACGTGGCTTTAAGGAACCAGAGAGGGGGAAGGGATTGCCGGGCGACAAAATGTTAGGTGTGTTTGCAAAGTATTACTCGCTCACAGAGGGCGTTTGTTACTCTGTGTGTTACCATAAATACCTATATTAATGCTCTATGAAAATTCGCAACGACAAATAAATAAATATATGACAATATATTGATAGCGTGTACATAGATCCGTACCGTCCCGTGGAGACCATCAGGGTATCGCACGTAGTATCGAGGCCAAGCACACTCCTCATTTCTTCCGTCAACTTCGGATTGTGAAAGTCATATATCTTTTCGCAGTGCGCATTGAAGGATGCAGTCTTTCTGTATGGATGTAATTAATAGATATGGAAGCAGATCAGATGAAGTTTCATATTGCAACAAACGAGAAAAAATATATATACCGATTGACTGTAGATATAACAAATGATGATGATCATGGCTATAGTTCAATTTAAATAGGACCTTGGTCTTAGAGAGTGTATCTATAAAGAGTGGAGACAACAACAGCTGGAAAACTTCTTCTATGAACTTGCAGGTGACATCGGAGGTTGAAATTGTAATCAGAATAAGAACGGATCGTATCCACGCTTAGATACTACGCTTACCGTTTATACACACGTTAGACATCCAGTTTACTGCCCATACACCCACACGATACTTACTCAAACTCAACATTGAAGTTCTTCTCTTCGTTGCGCACTCGACCCAGACGCACCTGATCTCTCCTTCTATCGTCTGGGTCATAGCTCATTCGCAAAAGCACAAGCGGTGTATCTGATATGGGCTGTTGCACGCTCCGCATCACGCCTGTGTTGATATGAAAAAAAATGTCTGAGTGTTTGTATGGGACAGTATATAGTACCAACATCTGGTGTGTACACAGCGGGAGGGTATAGCTTTTTCGCAGAAGCACACGCGATGTGCCGAGAAGGGTTGTGGCACACTCTTGCACCACGCTTGAGGGCATAGTTAGAGATACATGGTCACTATTAGGATCGTATGCATACATATGTCACCTTAGGTGGCAATGTCTATTGTATATATTCGTACGCACATGGGATGTAACAAACAACAAAACCTCCACACTCCCCACCACGCCTGTGATCATAAATAAACCATCAGTAGTGTTCTTATGCGCACACAAAGTTCAACGTATTTACCACCGAGTGACATGAGTATAAAAGTTCAGCGTATTTACACCGAGTGACATGAGTATACGTGTGTCCACGGATACATCTCATGCGAATCTTGCAAGGATTCGATAGCAGCAATAGACAGGCTGTAGTAGACTTGATATCAGTGACACACACTTGCAAAGGTGCATAATTCTGACCCGGTTGTTTGTACCTACAAGCTGCAAAATATCTAAACTTGCTTACAATCAGCTCAATTTGTGTATGCCCTACGCGTTCATACAACCGCATATGTTTACGGTTCCACGCTAGCACTAGCAGTCATCATACACGGTAGCACTGCCAATAGCATGCGCACCATGTACACACGTCACAGGCCAAACACCCGCTCGTGGCACCAACCTGCGTACCTCTCACAGTATCGTGGCGGCGACAGTCTAAAAAGAGCTCCTCTTCCTCTCGTTCGTCCATGGATAGTCGGGAGTCTCGTTGTCTGTGCGAGTATATCTCGGCCTACCAACGAAGTGATACAAACATGTTGGGTCACCAAATGCATAGCGTCAGTATGGCATACACGTATGCCGCGCCTGAGGATGCGAATTTTTGTGGCGATAAATTCGCTCACATATATAGCACAGGTACGTACGAGCAAGACGGCTGACCATTTTGAACTCAAGGAGTACATTTTCTTGAGAAATTATGTATGTATACAAGAATATGGGAACCAGGATATCACCCTCCTTCCGATACGCAATTTTCTGCATCATATTATATTCCAGGGGACGTAGGGCTTGAGGATTCAGGGTTTTGTATTATCGAGTTTAATGTACGACGGAACTTGCTTGCTTGTATTTGTAGGGAGTTTAGAATTTATGTATTTAGCGAATGGCGTGCTAAGGTCTAGTACTTTGCAGCACTTACTTGTATTTCCAGTGAATCGAGATCATTGATTCGCAACGGACGTCTCCCCACCATATGTCCGCCGTCGCGCGTATCTTTGGCATGAGTCATCTGGTTGCAAGTCACGGTCGCGTTTCGGAAGCGTTAATTTTTACAATTCATGGGGTCAAGTAGAGGTGTAGATCTTATACCATTAATTGCGTTCGGCAATTTAGCATGCAATTAAAGTGATTTACTCCCTGCAACACTCACGAGTATCTCAATGCCTATATCCTCGCACAAGGTACATAGTCGATATGTTCTGCATAAATAAGACCATACATTTGTTAGGCCGCATGTAATATATTTGCAATCACATATCAGCAGGCAATCCGCTGACTTTGTGAACAAAAACACACGCACGCGCAACAACAGAGAGAATGAACAATACCAGCACCTTGTACTGATCAATCGCAGTCGTATTCGTCGACATATTGGCATGAAGTACATTCAACACTTATTAAGTGGGCTGTGAGTTTCACATCTTTAAGGTCAAGAGCCTAGCTGTACCTACCTCACGATCGCATATAACCAGCAAGATAGAGCTAAGTTTGAGCTCAAGTTTGTGTTCAGTTGCATGCTGCACCACTCCTTCCACCACTGCACCTGCTTTCAGAATATGGCCACAAATGAACCTTTTCCGGTCACTCGCGGTCTGGGCCGAAAACAGACCTAGAGAGGGCAGCCAATCCCAAGACAACCGATCTATATATAGACGAAAGCCAAGTGGGTAAGTATGTGTAGGTCTAAGTAACGCACGCAACAAGGACCGAATTTGCATAGTGCAAAAAAGTATACGCCTGTATCTGCTGGTACAAGGGACTGATCTGTCCGATTGAGTGTGCATGTATGTACTTAATGCCATGAATGTTAGAATTCATCGCAGCCAACTTCCGTACGAGATAGGTATAATATCGCGGGTAACGTATTTTCCCTGCATATTTGAATATATATGCGCGTCGCGGTCCAAAGACGACATACACCTGTTCATACCTTGCCTCAGGACATTGCGATAGTTCTTTGTACTTGTCTGATTGGGTGTACTTGTTAGACTATTACCATGACGGTTCTACCAGCAAGTTTGTGGTGGTTTGTGGAAGATGTGAATAACCCTCAATACCGATGCTGAATTAGCATCTGAATGCTATGCTATGCATGTTTGAGATGCAGGTTAGCGTCTGTATTGTGGTATACTATGCTATGTATGTTTGAGTTGTTGATCAAGCATCTGTACTATGGTATGTAAATTTGAGATACCGATTAAACCTCTGTGCTATGCTTTATTATGGTATGCATATTCGAGATGCTGGTTAAGTATCTGCACTACGGTATGCACATTTGAGATACTGGTTAAGCCTCTGTAGTATGATTTACTATACATGTATGTTTAAGATGCTGATTAAGTGTCTGCACTATGCTGTACTTTGCCATGCATGTTTACGATGCCGATTAAGCATCTATACTATGCTATGCATGTTCGAGATGCTGATTAAGTGTCTGTACTATGCTATGCCATGCATGTTTACGATGCCGATTAATCATCCGTACTATGCTATGCATGTTTGAGATGCTGATTAAGTGTCTGTACTATGCTATGCCATGCATGTTTACGATGCCGATTAATCATCCGTACTATGCTATGCATGTTTGAGATGCTGATTAAGTGTATGTACTATGCTTTACTATACCATGCATGTTTACGATGCCGATTAATCATCCATACTATGCTATGCATGTGTGAGATGCTGATTAAGTGTATGTACTATTCTTTACTATGCCAGGCATGTTTACGATGCTGATTAAGCATCCGTACTATGCGATGCATGTTTGAGATGCTGATTAAGTGTCTGTTCTATGCTTTACTATGTTATGCATATTTGAGCTATTGATTAAGCATCCGTACTGTGCTATGCATGTCTGAGATGCTGATTGAGTGTTTGTACTATGCTTTACTATGCTATGCATGTTT